CTTATATATAATCTTCCATTCTATGGCCTCCCAGAGAAGCTTTGCAGATGGGTTGCTGAATTCCTCTCTGGAAGCAAAATATTCGTCGTAACTGTAACACTTCTCCAGAGGTGCTTCCCAGTGCCTCGTCTGTTATACGGGTGTTATACGCTCCGAAATAGTGGGGATAACGAAAATGACATTTGTGTCAAAACTGTTAGGTTATGTATTTTCATCGTTTCTATTTTTTGCATTAAACTCACATTAAACCATACCAAACAATGGAGGATGGTAAAAAACTGATAATGTTGTGACCCAGAGTAACAACGTATATTTGATATGTTCCTGGATAATAAAGATCGCAAGAGAGTGCAAGAATGCAAATTTATAGCGTCATGTAGCTGGCTATATCTATAACTAGACACTTTGAAAATAATTTTGAATGTCTACACTAAAATATGAATTCGACACATTTATCGAGAAGCTTTACAATACAACAACATACAATACAATTGCAGTCTGATAATGCTTCTGAAAATAATGGTAAAATGTGTTTACATTTTCATTATTTGGTAGTGTGATACAAATTGTCAACGTCAAAGCAAAACATCAACAAACGTCTCGCACTGTGATCAAAATTAAATAAATTCAGACCAGCCAAAATTATTTCAGTATACAAAACCGATCAAAATTGTTTTTTGGAGTTACAAAATAATTCGAGTAGTCAAAGCAATAACGCTTAAGCTATTTCAAATGATTTACTTCTTTTCTTTGCTCTATTTATTCCTTCCTTTCTCTTCTTATAGCGACTTCAACTTTGACGAGAGACTTGGAGCTTATCACTGCTGGGGCCACAACAATCTGGTACAGTTCAATACTTTCAAAACACAGTACTGTACTTTGATTAACAGCAAGCGCACTAGCACTCATTCGGTTTCGATGGATGGCTGAGTTCTACCAAACAGCCTTTCATTTTGGCTGGTCGGAGTCCGGATCACCGAGGACTTGATCTGGCACGAACACATATCGTGAATAGCGGCAACTGCTGGGAAAAAGCTAGACTATTTGTTTAGGGTGGAAAAATACGTTTCTCCACATAACCTTCTCACTCTGTAGGGGCCCAGATAAGACCTACCCTCGAGTACCGCTAACATGATTCAGGTGCAGCTACACCGACCGCACACACCGTCCATGCTCGATGCTGTTCAAAGGAGGACTGTCCGACTGATCGATGACTCATCTTCAACAGACAGTGTCTGGATCCTTTATTACCGATGCGAAGGGCCGTTGGCTATCTAGCTACCTTCTACAGGTATGTCAAAGGGCTTTGCTCCTCAGAATACCCCTGCATGATACCTCCGCGCGATGAGCGTGCCAGACAAACCCGACTAACTTTGGCCTACCGTCCTAAACTTGTCGAACTTCGTACATCCAGAACTGGCCGCTCCTTTGTCCCTAGAATGTCGAGATTGTGGGACAATCTGTCTGAGGAGGCTTTTCCCGGTTTTACTAACCTTAGGCAGTTCAAAAATTGGAATAATCAAGTGACTCTAAGTTCCTCATAGCAGTCGCAGTGTCCTTGTATTTAGGCTTCTGCTTACGCGGCTGCTTCTTTATAACGAAAAAGTTTCATTATTATGTGAGGTTCAAAATAAATGCCATTCTGACAAACATCGGAATGTACAGAGAAACCATATTCCAATCTTGATGTCTACTAGGGGCATGTACTTGACCAATTATGGGTTCCACATGAATTCATTGGAGTGTTTGGGATGTGGCATGGTGATTTACTTCCAACTGTGGGACTGAAATTTAAGACTTACGCTCTCCTAGTATAGAATAGCTGGAAGACCTGAAACTTATAGACTAAACACACTCTATCTTTTTTATAACTTTTGTCTTGACAGATGGAATTTCTCGGAATACCTTATATTACCGAATCGCTACATCTGTTTAAAATATACGCCCTAAACGTGCTCTGTGTATTCCTTTAACTAGAATCTGGCCGCAGGGTCGAGCCATGTAAAGCATTTGGAAATGATTAACTTAACAAACGCGATCCCTGGAATTGAAATTAACCAAAGCGATACTCCACTTTGAAGTAGGTAAATAAACAGCCTGGGCTTAGGTATGATAGTACCTTGTTCCTATCAAAGCATTTAATCGAGTGAATAAAGAGCAGTCAAGTCAAAGAGATATTAGTGTAGCATATTTTGAGAATCAGAAGATTTCGCATTTTTCAAAAGATATCTCAAATCTTCAAACATTCAATAGAGGTTGGAAGCACTTTATGTCACTTTCCTCCCACAAAATCGTGTGAATATTCAACTTGTTCTTTTAAATCACATTACTACAAGCCGAAAGCACACAGAATATAAAGCATTTCAACCACAAAAAGAAAAATAAATACTATATTTTAAGTAATGAATGGTTCTGAATTTAGTAGAGAATTTAGTCATATTACTTTGATAAAATTCTATACATTGGTTATTGAACTAATTATTTGTCAGAATACTCTGAAGTAGTAGCATATCCCATTCCAAACAGTTCACTTAACCATGACGTAACTTTGAAGGTCATGGTCAAATGTATTATTGGCAAAGGTCATGGCTCAATGTAGATATTTCGATGTGGAATGTCTCACTCTTCTTATTTCCATGACCTTGAAAGTTATGGAAATTCTAACTACCTGTTTTCTTTTCATCACTTTATTAACCTATATGCCCATACTAACGCAAATTGTCAAGATAGTAGATATGCAGCTTGTCAAACTTTGTTGTTTTTTAGATAAGGTACCCAATAGACTAATAACTGAGAATCAAAACCCATAAGTCGATTATAACCATATTATTTTAAAAAAGGCCTATCCCGGTGAAAAATATTTTATATTTGGAGCAAAGTATTTTAGAAATGTGCCCTCGGATACCATGTATAATAATCCATCAATAACTTCCTTTGATAAGTTTTTATTTATGAGTAATACTTCATTCTTGCTTATTTGGGACGCCCTGTATATCATGAAAACGCTTCATAGGATTGCTAAGATCTAATGAGAACTTTTGATCAGGATGCTCTGGAGAGCTTATTCCAAAAGTTTGAGTAACATTCACCGGGGACTGATTTTCGTAAGGTTTGTGCCTCCTCCTTTATGATTTAGGGCCGTATCGTCAGTCGTTCCTACAATTCTTTTAATTAGAATTACAAAGTGATATGTCACATTTTTACGAAAATTAAGGTTTTGTAATAATAAAGTTGTATGTGCCCTTGTCTACGTGTTTACAGAATAACAGAAGCATAAATATGTTCAAATTTCAAGAGTGGGCAACCATGCTTACATAGTTCAATATATTTTAGTGTGCACATACAATGATGTCCTTCTGTGCATGTCCTTACATTTGAGGAGCAATGGTATGTCCGACTCAAGAAGCGTACGTCCGTGTCGATGATACGTTCATTCTTTGATTACTTTAGGCATATATTCTGGCAGTCCAGCAAAGAGAAATGAGGTTAGAAATACATAAAAGGAAAGGAAATTAAAGACGATTTTGATTACAAAAAAGTACCTTTTGCTAAAATAACAGCTTTAAATTTAACACAGTCGTCTTTCAACTGAGTTTTAAAACGTTCCATGCAGAAGAAACATGGATTAAATTTGCTCTGAGACCTGTTAATATAATTAGATCAGGGGCATTAGCAATAATGTTTCTTCCAAAACCTGCAGTATCCAAAAATTACCTGTCTGCCGAGAAGGTTTTGCCCATTAAAGCAATGATGAGGCATATGCCACAAGTGGATTGTGAATATTATAAGGCAATTCTCAAATTATAATTTTTTATAATAATCTTAAATCACTAGTGTTTTGTGAAAATATTAGAACTAATATTAAGTTGTATGTGTTATAAAATACATTTTCGTCTTCAGTTCACGCTAACATAATTGTATGTTTTTCTTCAAATAAATTTATTTCTGATATATGATGTTTTAATATATTTTTTTAATAATATCTTCTATTCCAAATAAAACTGTAATAAAAATAAAAAATGTCCATTCATTTACATATTACACAGATACGTATGTCCAACTTTTCAAACCTCTATACTGAAAAGTTTGCTTACAGCTTTGAAGTTCCAGGTAAACGAATTGTACGCCTTTATGGCCTCCTTGATTTTCATAGTTTTCTATTGTTCCATGTCACCGCTCTATTTTGAGGTTATGTTACAAATATCTATTTGCATCAAATTGTTCATCCTTTTGATTTATATCATCTGTTATGTCAGATTACAATTCAAAAAGAAAACATAGCCTCACGATAAGAGAGCGTTGACGCTGACATGAAACAGCAGAAATTCAGAAATACCGCAGCCTTTCGGAAGGAGAGAAAGGCTATGGAAATCAAGTTGGCCATAAAGGCATCCTATAATCCTCAGTGTTTCAGTAAGGGTGTAGAGACGCCTTCATAGTTCATTTTTCAAGTTAGCTTGCATCTCAAAGATATTTGGAAATTTGAATCAATTCCGTTCATTCCCCGCTGAGGGGAATGAACGGAATTTTAATTTTAGGAAATTTTGATGTACTGAATGTCACTCGGGTTGACAAGACGAATCTAAAAACACATTGATTATATTATAGACATGGCCATTCGTACTGCTAAGACATCACATACATTTTTGGATTTTCGGTCCATACATATTTCCTGTATGAAGAAATACAGGTGGAACGTCCATACCTCTCCCACCCCAACTTCTCAAGGATTCGTCATCCTCCAAGAGAGTGCTGACTACGCCTCTGTGTTAGCGTTCATACAGGTCATCTATTTATTTGGATATTTCACCACAGGCCAAGATAAGAATACCTTTCTGGGGCCCAGTGAGGTTGTTTTGATCAATCAGATGAATAAATAATATAACAACCTATGAAACACAATAAATGAAGATACTAAACAATCATCCTACGGATGCTCAACAATTCCAGTATTATCCGGATATCCGGTATCCTCTTTCTCTTGATGCCCGAATCACTCTACCAGCTACTCACCAGAAGAAAATAAGCCTAAGAATAACTAAAATGGTTGCGGAAGAAACAAGGCGTCGAGAAGCCCTGCCAGTAACTCGAGACAGATGTCAAAAGGCAAACACCACAGAAAGAAATTTGGAAAGAACTTCTTTTGATTCGCTCTTCTGGGTGGAATATTCCTCAACAGTTCAGAGGATTGCAGTGTATTCGTGGTACATATTCGAAGAGGCAGGTACTATCCTAGACTTGAGGATGTTTTCGTAGCTATAGTTTTGATTATAAATAGTATTTTCGTGTTACACTGGGTATGTTGAAAGAAGGAGAGCCTACTCGTATATTAATATCTTTGGCAGCATGTGTTATGAGTTATCGCTATTTATTTCTGCATTGATCAGTTCCAACTTCAAACTGATCTTAGCTACTTTCAGCTGCTGCCTCTAGCAGGTTTGGTCTGCTATTCTAAAATATAATGTATCCTTTGATATATCGATAATACCATATCTGATGCACGGCGAACAATTTTCACATAGCCTTAAATATAAAGGGATGTCTGTATCGGTAGTTGTTTTAGGAACGGGAACTACCACGATATTCTACCTCTTTATTTTTTTAACTCAATATACGAAATGTATATATATTTATATTTTTTGCTGTTCTCTATCAACTGTACTGACCAACTGGTTGCTACCCGAGACTAAGGGACTGACTTTCAAACAAACACAGTAATCGCTGTTAAAGAAAATGGCAAAAACCTATACTTAACATGTAAGTGCTTTTTTGCTGGAGCTTAGTCAAAAAGTACTTTGGGCAGAGGTTCGAATCTATTTGAAAAAGTATTAATAATACCCGCAAATCTTATGTGTTGGTTCCCTATTTAGTTTTTCAAACCAAATGGAATAAAACATGTTTATCTATGAACGAGTTCAAATTTCGTTCTAAATCTCTATATGTATATCAACGCAAATGTCTGTCCACTCTATCATCACCACGTGTGCACAACAATCATAGGCATGGTTTTATCCACGAACTCGCCGATTTAGCAATCAACTATTGTAGCAGGTACCAAAATCTCCACCGTCAGCGTCAAGCCGGCAGCTGTGCGGCCTGCCATCGCCACACTGAGCCTGTGACCATCAAACTATACAGTCGTTTTATTTGCATTAGCTGTTACCTGCGGCTTCGTACGCTTAAGATGTTACTAACATAAGACATTGCTTCTAATCCTATAAACTTGATCACGTCATGTATCTTTGATGGTATTAATAAATTGACAGCCAACTGTGGGGCAGAAATCTAGTTAATCATAAACGTTAAGAAATGGAGGCTATAGAACATTTAAAAGCAAATTCTTGAAAAGTGACTGACCCAAATGGCTTAAAAGATTTTGGGAAGCTTGGCCTTTATCTGGATAAAATAGATTTTTATTTGATTATTGCCTTGTTGACTATGATGCTGGTTTTGATATAATGGTTCCCCCATTTTGAAAATATAGTAATTGGCGGCCTGAAAAAAAATCCAGATTTAAATTTTCAGATCACTTAATCAATTTTAAGGCCTTTGTGGATCATTTTGGTGATTGGCTGCAGTGTAAATCGATAGAAGCAGTATTGAAACGAGGCTGTTTTTTTAATCGGTTCACTTAATCTAAATCAAACAAGAATCAATTTTAAGCTAAATGATAAGGTTTGCCTTGAATATTATTATTGAGCTGATAATCTAAAAACAATATTATTACATTAGAACTAGTCCAACCCTGGGTAACTAAATCATTCCGAGGACACAAACATGTAAAGCCTTACCCAGTTTCTATTCTGTAAAAATTTCGTTGAATCATTCGATGTGGTCTACAGGTTATTCAAGAATCCAATGATCGATCCAGGACGTTCTACATATGGTAAGCAAGATGATATCTACTTCCGGTACAAACGGAGGTATCACCATTGTGTAAATATTTTAACCAAAGTACTCCCGTCACTTTTACTAAAAACCTAAATCAATAGCAGCAGTTTTACATGTATGTTGTAATTGTGCAGACAAAATTCAGCTAGCCAGAGCATGACAAAACGATAACTGGTGATATTTTTCACCCTTCTCATATTTTGAAAATATGTAATGGAATTCTTGGAAAATAATAGACAAACCCGCGTTATTTGGTTTTACAAATCTATGGGACTTGAGGAAATGTATCACTTCATTATAATCGTTTATTGAGCTTTTAGAACAGCAAGTGTCTAGTCTTGCATTAACACCACAATGATTTGACCAACTTGGCTGGGAATGATCTTCCAGAACATTTTTATAATTAACTTCCTCCTGTTTCACCAATATCCTGGCTAATACCTTTAAGAACAGCTTTTCCTGCGCATTTTGTAACCTAAATCCTGCCATTTAAGAGATTATAACCGAAAACCCAGCAATTCCAGGAGAACTTATTAGATTGGAGGCTTCTCTTTTAAGGAAACAACCCCCCAGGCGCCGGTAGAACAGCGTCTTCTCCACCTCTAACGTTGTTTGTTTGCCTAAGGTGAAACGGGGGGATGCAAATGTTATCGAGAAGAGGAGTTCAAACAAGGCCTTCCCCCCTACTCGCAGTTCCTTCTTGTGCCTGAGAGGCTTCGTTTTCAATTTCCTACGCAAACCATTTTAATGCCGTTCCACGATGGTCGTCCTATAAATGTGTTATTCTAATTTATAAAAAGAAATACCGAATTTTTAGGAATTCCATTTATACTAAAACTACCTTCACGTGAACCATTTCAATTGCAATATCAGCCCCACGGACAAGCTTTCATTTTGAATTCATCATCATATTACATATAGTATACAGGGTGTTCCTTAATGATATGCGAATATTTAAGGGTGTGAATCTACATGAGGAATTAATGTTAGTTTGCTTTATAAACTATGGTCCAAAATTGTTTCCTTACAAAAACTCGGGGTGTTGAAGTTTTAGGAAAAAAAATGGAAGTTAATTAATATTTTCAGAACCGCTTCAGACATTTCACTGATATTTAGTACGTAGTGAAAGTTAACAAAGCTGTATATTTTTCAAAGCAAAAATAATTTTTAGCTTTAACAGTGGCGTGCGTACGGGTATTGACTTCGATATTTTTCAAGAAAAAAATGGTACGCCAATAGTTTTTTGCTAAATAAAAATTATTTCAATTTAAAACAAATGATCTCTTTTGAATTGTTTTCCTTCGTTGACCCATTTTTGAGTAAAAAAATAAAAACCGTTCTATTGTCTAACTTGCAAAATTATTATTAATTTAATTGGAAAAATTAAACACATTAGGGGTAATGAACAACAACAACTGACAACATAAACATAACACTAAAACCAACGAAATGATTACAAAAATTGTTGAAAATGGCCCCCTTCACTTAGGAAGCATGCTTCTGCCCTCCTTCTCATGGAATTGCGCACTCGTTGAAATACTTATCCTTATAGTGTTTTCTATTCTGTCACAAGCTGCAACTTTTCCATCTCTTAATTCATCTACAGTGTTAATGGAACTTGTGTACACTAGTGTCTTAAGATAGCCCCACAAAAAAAAATCTAAACTGTTGAGGTCTGGGGACCTTTTTGGCCATTCTTGGAGCCCACCGCGGCCAATCCAACGATTTGGATAAACAGTTTGTAAATACTTACGAACCGCTACACTGAAATGCGCTGGTGCACCATCATGCATGTACCACATATTGTTTCTTATTACTAACAAAACATCATCAAGCAGCAAAGGTAACTGATGTTGGAGAAAATTGAGGTAAGTCTGCCCGTCAAGTCGTCCCGGCAAGAAGAATGGGCCAATAAAGTGGTTGCCAATAATTCCTGTCCATACGTTAACCGAAAATTGGTGTTGGAAATGGGTTTCGGTTACGGCATAGTGATTTTCTTCTGTCCACAAATGATTATTGTGGAAATTCTGAATGGCATTTCGAGAAAAAATAGCGTCCGTGAACCGAATCATTGATTCAAATTGCGGATTTTGTGTAATTTTTGAAGATACCACTGACAAAAGGTCACACGCCTTGGAAAATCAATGGGAAGTAGTGCCTGTTCTCTTAAAATATGGTAAGGATATAACAAAAAAACCACTAAAATTCTCCAAACAATTTGATGGCAAATATTTAAGTGATCTTCCTTGTACTCATTTCAGGATGTTTTTCGACTTCGTGCAGCACTGCTTCCTCAATTTCAGGTGTTCTCACACTTAGAGGTCTACCTTCAGATGTTCCTTTTCGGACAGACAGTTTCAACAAGACGACGATGAATATTAGAAAAGGTTCGACTATCTGGTAAAGCACGATCGGGATATCTCTTGTGATAAATCCGTCTGGCTTTTTCACCATTACCGTCGGCAAGGCCATATACGTAATGCATTTCCGCCATTTCTGCATTTGAATAATTCACGATTGTAAAAACTAAATAATGAAAAGATGTTACAGCGAACAGATTTGAATAACAGAGTCTTGTCAGATGTCGAAAGCCAGTGACATATTCCAGAGCAACTTGATACTTATTGCCAACAACCAGCCAGAGTTTTTGTAACATTTTTGGGCCATAGTTTATAAAGCAAACTAACATTAATTTTTCATGTAGGTTCACACCTTTAAATATTCACATATAATTAAGGAACACCCTGTATATGTATGTATATGTATACCGTATGCGTAATGGAAATTCAGGATTACTTCCTATGCATATTATAAAAAATGGCACCAAGTAGGCTGACCATGCACTTCCTACTCAACGCTGTCATCAATTCATAAAGGATTATATTTGGCATAACTTAGTCCAGTCTTAGAAAAAAGTTAGAAACATGTATAACATGTATAACATTTAGTCCATAGTCCCCACAGATTTGGCAACATTACGATCTAGCCTAGCGTCCTAACATCCTACCGACAGTACGGACCACCCAGCAACGTGGCAATCCAGCACGGCATTGCTTTCATGAGTATACGCATCATCATTCCGTTATGCATCAGCATTCGAAGCAGGTCGACATACGCTCGCTAAGTTTTCTGGCAAGCGTATATCAAAATTAATAAATAAAAATACAAGTTTTATCTGCAATGTACGGGGAACTCTAAAATGTATGAAATAGGTCTAATAGGTGCGTAGAATTACCAGGGTTGAAAACGTATAAATAGACAAAAAATTTACATATATTCTCCCTCATCCTCTATAACACCCACCACCCAATTTCTAACCCCTGCAAACATTCTCCTAAAAAGATCAGGATTCTCTGAACCGCCAAAAAAAACAAAAAAATAACTTTGAGCGACTTTTATTTTTTTCGTTTTTGGCCTTTTCCTCCGCCGCCACTGGACTGATTTTCAAAAACTACAAACCTTCTTCTCTTTGGCAGAGTAATAACCTTGTGTGGAAACTTTATGAGAATGCGAGCCGTACTTCCCAATTTAGACAGCGAACAAACAGACAGAGCGACTGGCGGACAGACTGACTCAGTTATATGGTTTTTCGTGATGTAGATGCCATATGAGAGAACGTACACACTATTTTTCGTTATGACTACTCCAATTCGGGCATTTTGACCTATTATTTTTAGCCAATTTTTCAACTTGCCTGAAGCGATGCCGTCAAAAGAAAATAACATGTTTGTACTTAATAATATTCCTTTGATCTTCCAAATGTCAGAAAAGTTGCGCATGTACTAGCAACTAAATACTGGACTATAAACAATAACAATCTATTATTTTTTTTTTTTTTTTATACTCCAACTACCACGAAGGCCTAAGGCCTAAGCACCCATTGAGTACCGTGGGGCTATGGGGGATACATGGGAAAGGGGGGACGCCACACGGACTCTGGCGAGGGAACACGTGTGCATGCAACATGCACACATTCTGGCTCCGCCTACGAGAACCGCCGGGTGGTACCTCCGCGTTCGACAGTCAGAGACCATCTACCACCTACGGACAATCACAACATCCATGGCCAAGAGAAACATTTCTCCTGGGACGGGACTCGAACCCGCACAGCGCACGACGGCTGATCAGGAGACCGAAGAGTCTACTACTGCGGCCACCGCTGCTGCCTAAAACAAACACACAACATCCATGGCGAAGGCGAGATTCGAACTCGCGGCCCGGCCGGCCGGCTGATCAGTAGCACGACACTCTGACCCACGCGGCCAACCGAGGTCCCGTGCATTAAATGCACATCTTTCAATTTTTATTTGTAGTTTTACATTTGCAACAGGCAGGTATATTCTTGACTGAATGTTAAATATGTGCTTAGTTTATCTATATCTTTATTGTGTGAAGTTGTTTTTATTGTCAGTTAAAAGTTTCATTATTTTATTGTAAATGTCTTATTCAATTTAATAGCAGCTATAGCACTTTTTATTAAATAATATTTTTACGTTTTAACTTTAACATTGTTGGTCGGAAGATGACGTCGATGCTCATCAAATAGCAGCCAATGATGATTAAGTGTAATGTAAGAATATATATAGAATATGATGGAATGTGCCGCTGATTAAAGGAAATCATCAATTATATAAACGGGATGACAATACATCGTAGAAGAATAAACACACCGTACTGCTGAGATTTAGTTACTTTATTGTCAGTTTCAGGTTCCATATCAATGCCTTGATACTAACGATACTGTTCGAGAAAAATGGTCATTTACGTGCTGCTCAACGGCGCAGACTTCCATCTTATGGCCACTATGCATTTTTTTGACAGGGGAAAGCTTTTATAGCCACTCGCAGGCAGAAAAACTCGACAGTATTGCCCTGCTGGCCCTTCCTGCCCGAAGTGTGAGATGCTTTAGAAATGGCATACTCACTAAAACTCAGTCGCTCGCTACACATCCCACCACAGTCATTCTTGCATTCACCTTTTCTCTATTGTACACATACATACTTTTATACTCATGTATGTACATGTACCACCGAGCAATATACAAACCTACTATTGGTTCCTTAGTTTTTTTGTTCTCCCGTACCTTACTCAGCACGATTCGGCTCACTATTGGTTGAATATCAAGCCATTTTCCTTCACGTGTATGCGTGGCAAAATTGTCAGCAGTGAAACTCTCGCCGAGTGCCTGTTCGAGTTGTGTCTCTTGGTCAACCCACCTACCACATTGGAGTAGGTGACGAAGAGTAGCCTGGTCTTCAATATACGCAATTCAATTCAATTCAATTCCTATTCTCTTCAGGTAGGTGTCAAAGCAACCGTATCGTGTGAGGAACTGTAATCTATCTGCACCGCTCCCTTGGCAATCCAAGTTTTAATATCTAGGATTATCCTTCTGGTCCCTGCGCGACGGCCACTTGCCTCCCATCTCTCCTGCCATCTTACAAAAGGCGCCTCTCTTTCGTTACTTCTAGCTTCGAAGCCCTTTTGATACAGCGCACATCTCTTCGCAGCTAGCAAATACCATGCGCAGCACTACTTTTCGCTGGCTTCCCAATACTAGCTGTCTATATTTCTTTTTCCTCAAGGCCTTGTTATATACAGGAGCTTTCGTACAGTGTAATCAAGTTTGCCACCTCTGCCATAATCTCTTACTACTGGGACCTTCGTCAGATGGCATTAGTGGTATAACGATGCAACGACCTTATTTATCTAGTCAGTCAACTTAGCGGCCACTATGCATTGAGAACCAGAATACTGACCCAGATCATCCTATATGATCGACGAGATTTCCTCTTCATCTCCAATCTAGTTTTTTATTTCACCATTGACTAACGTATTCGACCTGAAGATAGTCAACCTGATACTATACTACAGCTTCCAAAAAATGGCGTCATCTATGAGAACTTGTGACAGTTATGTTTGCCATCACCTCAATAATTAGAAACCTACTCGCTCATAGATGGCGTAAAGCCTATATGAGATTACGTACCATACTGTGCAACTTGATTTGCATTCTCATTTCACTCGTATTCTCAAAGGTGTTTCGGGACGTGATTCCGGACTCGGTGAAGGACCCCCTCGTTCTGTCACGTTCGTCGGGCGATATGGATTTGCCATTAGCCCAGCGTCGAAGTCGGAGGAGGCAGAATTCTATGGCGCATGTCACAAAAGCACGTGCTCGGCTTACTAGATGAGACGCGGGAGACAGCATGGCGCGAAAAGGACAAGGAAACTAGAAAGCGAACTTATAAGGGAGGCGGAAGTACTTTGTTGTTATTTCGCTCAAAAAGATGTGATCTTCCGTGACGCATCACGGTTGTGACTTCATAATAGTACCTACATGCTATAATTGGGATATGCTCCACTTAAGCAAAAATGCATATTTTAATAGCTGAATAGATAGTTTACAACTACTATATTGAACTAACACAATACAGGGTGTCCGCAAAGTTGGGGTTTTCCTTTACACGACGTGTAGATCTTGAAAACATAAGCAATTTTTCTTAGTACCATATACACCAATGTCTTAAGGGAACCGAGATAAAGGGCTCTGCAACATCAAAAAGATCTTAATACCGTCCTGTAGCCGCGACATCCCCCAGTGGTACTAGTACACTAGCTCAACCCGACGACAGAACTGGGTCGGGGTCAGTGTGTCAGGTCAGTATGCAACCTTCAACCGACGGTTACGGTCACGCGTGTAGAGATAATCGCGTAGACGAGAATCCCTCAACAAGCACTAGAGACGTGGCTAGAGAAGTGCAAGTATCAAAGACTAAAGTGTGGCAAACGCTGCGTGAAGAGGGGCTATATCCGTTTCACGTCCAACGTGTACAAGCTCTTCAACCTGACGATTTTCCAGCAAGAGTGCGATTTTGTGAGTGGTTGTTGCATCAACATGACAATAATCCGGACTTTTTGAAGTGCATATTGGTGACAAACGAATCTTCGTTCACGCGTAATGGGGGGAATAACTTTCGCAACACTCATGTTTGGTCAGTAGAAAATCCGCACGCTGTCCGTCGGGCACATTTTCAACAAACATTTTCGGTGAATGTTTGGGCTGGCATGGTGAACGGTATGCTCATTGGACCATTTATTCTCCCAAATCGATTGGACGGGATGCAATATCTAGACTTTTTACGCAACATTTTGCCTTCCTTGTTTGCCTGCGTCTGCTCGGTAGCGCATCAGCTGATTTTATTTCCTGTTGGAGCGGTATGATTTCGGGCAGAGACGTACTTAGCCCTTCTCGTCAACTGGAGAGTGAGTACTTTTTCCTTTATTTTTTTTACTTGGTCGCCCTCGTTTCACTACACATTACCTTTGTTATTTCAAGAGTAGTTGTTTCTGAAAAGGAAAACCCCAACTTTGCGGACACCCTGTATATTACTTGCCGTGAATCGTGGTATTGGATCATGCAATCCACTTTTACAATGTTCTTCTGAGGTACTCAGATCAGAATGATTGGCCCCGTCTCATTTAAGTATAGAATTAAAGCTTATCCTGTCTGTAAAGCTTTTTATACAAAGGAAGAATTCTTATTCTCGTATTGTAGTGTGCTGGTTCACTTTTCTATGTTTGTTGATTTATTCCAATGTGGTTGTTCCATAGTTTTGAATTCAACTTACAATCATAATATCATATTCCAGTTAATCTGCTGAAGTTTTTTGAAGTTTTCTCCTAATGTTGTCCTTTCTAACCAATTTTGTTGTTTTGTCAATCTACACTTTTATAATTTTACTTCTACTTTGACCTGTGTAAGCACGCGAGTATATTAAGCACCAATAAAGAAATGAAATACTACTACCATACTACTACCACTCGTTCCAAATAGTCATACTGTCAAAGGCAATTATGATACAATGCCTGTGGATTAGCTCCAGTAGAAAATCTGATAAATATGTTTGCGAAGACCAGTTCGTACTATCTGATCATGTTTCCGTTCAGGATCCCTATTCACGTTTGAACTGTCTTGCAGTTCCAAAAGATGTTGATGGTCAAATTCTAAGTCAACCTATTAGTCATTCTGATATTGCAGTTTCATTGAAGGAATGCTCTGTTGGTTTCTCAGCAAGCATTTGTGATTCTCCTTCAACTTCGGCAGCAAGCCATGTAAATTGCCTGCCAAAAGAAGTACCAAAGACTTGACAGATGTAAGTACAATTGAACACGATCACTGATATTCTAAGCCAGATTTTGTGGTACAGACTCATTATCAAGATAAATATACATTTCTTGCAGACGCTTCGAGTTCATGCCTTACACAATTAGAAGTAAGTAAAAGTCAATTAACAGCAAGGGAATCTAAAATGTATCAAATTCACCGCAACACAAAGTGATGTTAACATCCCCCAATGCCCTACATGTCGGGAAGCACTGTTCTCTGATGAGTTGACCCCATTACAGTTGTATGTTCATTTCAAGGAACAGGACAACAAGCAAAGGCTGACATACGCAAATGACAAACTAAGTCATCTACTAGATGTTATCCATGTAAAACTGTATAGTTTTTGCCTAATGTTCAAGCCTCCTTTAAAACAGGTCTGACACAACTGCTTGAAAATTTTCAGCCTTGCTATTTTCATTTCAAAAATATTATTAACAAATGCATCAGACTGACAATCTTCTAGTATATTAAACATAAAAATTCTTTGAAAAGACCTCTTGAAACATCTGATGGTCATTCAAGGAAAATGAAAAGGTTGAATTCCACCAGGTAAATCATTTTAGAATATTTGCTGCTGGTTTTTTTAATTATTTCATGTACCTCCGTGGATGAACCACAAACCTGGCTGTGGCATACCTGACCAAGACATTTTTACCAAATTGTGATAGAATTGTGTTTTATTTTATTTTTTAGAATTTTATGTTGAGTTATTAAACTACTATATATGGCCTGGTGCCATATACATACAGGCCTTACTGATGTAAAATAAATGTAAAATTTTGCAAATTAATGTTTACTCAGAAGTATAATGTTATGTTTGATTAACGAAATCTTGTACCCTTTACATACAGATTTCACAATATTTTTGTTATTGAATTTTTGTAGAGCGTGGTATCATGGGTTTTCTGTAGTTTCCTTATGATCTTATATTCGAATTATTATTCAGAAATCTCCCATGGGGGTTTCTGATTCTTCATTGCACTATATTGCTAATGCACCACATTACCTTATCTACCAGAATAAAGTTATTTTCCTAATTATATTGTTTTATTTATCACTATTGAACGAACCCAATCACAAATACACGTGAGGTGTTGGAATTGTTTTTCTTAATGCAAAATTAATTTTTGTTATTAGGAAGACCATTCAACCCAACCAAATAAAGATAACAATGAGTGACAGATGTGGTGAGAAAGTAGGGAACCATGAGAGCACCGCCGTATGTCATTGTAAGAAACATGGCGGCATATGTCATTCGTCGAATTGTTCTGAGTAAGCAGGCGTTCTTTCTGTGTCATATTTGTTCGTTCACCACGAAATGGCGACATTCGTGTTGCTGGTTGAATTACACTGAGTTAGCATTCTTTCAGTGTATATTTTGTGCTTTCCACACCAGTCTTAGTTCTTTCATACAACACTTGCGATCCATCTACTTTCAAGTTTTTCCGGTCTCTCTCATTCATTCATTGCACCTGTTTTCCAAGTTGAGTGACACGCCTACACAAAAGGGGTAAAAGTTTAACATGTCTGTATGAGCTGCATTTTTTTGTTTCAATAAAACATCTAACTATTTCTTAACTGAACAGAGAGATATCAGATCGAAATTACCCTCCCAACAGAAAATGGAACTAATTCCGTAACTGGCAGTTCCTGTTCCGTACAGAACCAATGGCGTCGACCAGCTATTGTTAGCTGAGAAGTGAGTTTTTGAGGCTGAAACTTTGTGCCTTTCATAACTTTTCAATCAATATCAAAGTTAAGTATCAACAGCTTATTGTGCCGTTCATTACACATATTCAAAAGACGGTTGACGGTTATTGCTTTGGAACAGATACAAGTGAAGATGAAGATATTTCGCTGATTATTCTTAGAACCAGAAATAAAAGGTGAGAGGTACATAGGTAAATGTTCATTATGATCATGAATTTGTTTCATTTATGTTATGAGTAATATAATTTTGTCTATATTCAAGTCAATTAATAGCTTAGTGTTATTCACATTCCTTTTCATTCCCTTCTCTGCTACTGTAGCTAAGCGCGATCTTAAGCCAGAAGTCTTCGGACTATTTCTTTGTAATATTTTGCCAGGATACACATCTCTTATTAAACCTGCCATTTCGTTTGCCCCCTTTTTTTTAAAGAAGGTGTACAGTCATCACAAAACAATAAATCCAAGTCTCGCACACAGAAACTCGATATATTTCAATTTTATTTCAATTAAGGTTATATCTACGACAAGAAGCGAGGTAATTCTTTATTCCAACAGAATAGTTCGGAACTAGTTCTGAACAGTATTTACCTCGGACATGCGCATAAAATAACTCGGAATTAGTTCTAAACTAGCTCGGGACTAGTTGTTGGAACAAACCTTATAATATCATTGTGCGTGCAGTAAGCTGGCATCTGTTCAATTTATATGACATCATCATCATCAAGATATTGTCAATGCCTTCGCACATTTTTTTCAATCAACTTACATTTCCTCAACTAGCTTTCAACCTGCAATATCAGCTAACAATACTTCTTTACCATCGAATTTGCCAGTAATTACGCACAAACAGGTTATTGAAGCTTTGAAAGAAATTAACCACTCCAGATGGAATACCTGCATTTTGTTAAAGGACTGCGCTGTCATTATAGCTGAACCTTTGGTTCATCTTTTTAATATGTCTCTTAAAACTTCTACGTTCCCTATGGTATGGAAAACATCTAGCGTTGCTCCAATTTTTAAGAAAGGAGACCGATCAGTGATTAAAAATTATAGGCCTATGGTAATTATAAGCAACGTTTGCAAGCTTTTGGAATTTATTTTACATGATATAATTTTTTCCCATGTTAAGCGAGAGATTTCACCCAGCCAACACGGCTTCTTCCAAGGTAGGTCAACGTTAACTAATTTAGCATGTTCCAACAATTTTGTTCGGAAACTATTGAATGAGGGAGGACAAGTAGATGTTGCGTATGTAGATTTTTCGATAAAGCCTTCGATAAACTAGATCATGGCTTTTTGTTGAACAAATTAGCTGCGCGGGAATTGAGTCATGAATTTTTGTGCTTTTTTAATTCAAATCTGACAGTTAGTTATTTGAGAGTTGAATATAGAGGTTTTACTTCCATTGACATTACATCTTCTTCAGGTATACCGCAAGGGTCTGCACTTGGTCCCATACTGTTTCTCATTTTTATTGATGATGTTGTTAATGAACTGCTGTCTACTTTATGCTGATGATTTAAAGATATTTATTTTGGAAAATGTCTACCAAATGCGACTGCCACAAACTGCAAAATGATTTAGATGCTCTTTACATACGGTGTCAAAGTAACAATCTGTATCTTAATGTGGATAAATATTGTACTATGTCCATCACGCGCAAGCTTGCTCCAAGTCATTTTGTTTACACCGCTGATAAATTTCCGCTAAAACCGTGTCAGGAATTCAATGATTTGGGCATAATATTTGATGCGAAGCTAACGTTTCTCGAGCACATTGAGACTGTTACGAGCAAAGCATACAAGTGCTTGGGCTTCATAATCAGGAGCTGTAGAGATTTTAATAGTTCAAGGACCAGGATTCTGTTGTACAATTCATTTGTGAGATCTAAAATAGCATATTGCTCACTATTTTGGTACCCTGTTTATGAAGTGCATCGCAATAAGATCGAAGATATTCAAGGGCTGCAGCGGTGGCCGCAGTAGTAGACTCTTCGGTCTCCTGATCAGTCGCCGTGCGCTGTGCGGGTTCGAGTCCCGTCCCAGGAGAAATTTTTCTCTTGCTATGGATGTTGTGATTGTCCGTAGGTCGTAGACGGTCTCTGACTGTCGAACACGGAGGTACCACCCGGTGGATCTCGTAGGCGGAGCCAGAATGTGTGCATGTTGCATGCACACGTGTTCCCTCGCCAGAGTCCGTGTGGCGTTCCCCCTTTCCCATGTATCCCCCTATAGTCCCACGGTACCCAATGGGTGCTTAGGCCTCAGGCCTTCGTGGTAGTTGGAGTATAAAAAAAAGGCGGTTTGCGAAATAGCTCTGGTACAGAGAGGATGGTTCCTAGCCATCAATTGATTTCAGGCACGATGTGTTGCTAAGTAGGTTTAATATGTCCAATTTAGAAAAGCGGAGAGATTATGCTGCTTGTATGTTTTTATGTAAATTACTCAGTAATATAATTGACTGTGAATACCTACTTGGTAAAATTGCTATACATGTACCTTATGCTAAAATTCGAGCAAATGTAAAATATTTTTACCTAACTGTACCTAAAAGCAATGCATTACTTTTCTATCCTGTTCATGTAATGTGTAACAGTTATGAATGTATTATGGACCGTGTAGATATATTTTTCTGTAATATGCCCGAACTTAAAATATGTTTTCTTACCATAGGTTAAGTCTTTCTTGATAATCAGAAATCTATTGTATAAATATTTTTGCACTCTGAAGGGACAAGTTTTACCACTTCTCTTTCGTAGAAAAAAGTATTATATTTTACAAATTCAGAAGTTGTAGCGAATTTCCAGTATGTCTGTTCTTAAAACTGAGATGCTTCCAAACTATGCCACAATAACGTTACACGTTTTTTTACATTTTTTTTTATTATTGACTGTGTTGAATAAATAGTTTCTCACTCTACCTGTATTCACACGCGAGTGCTTGAGAGTTTTTTCTAAATCTTTCATAATTACTAGGCGGTCATAGAGGCAAAGACCCATTAATATTTAACATTCAAAAATCAAGTTCTTTTAAAAGCATGCAGAAACACAGGTGAAACAGGAGGACTCTGCTTTCTAATTTTTTTTTGTAAGCAGTCTATACGCATATTTCTTGCTCAATTGACCAAAGAGCTATGAACAATACATGCAAATAATTGTAATATTTTAAGCATGCTGCTTACCTGGATGGTCTCTTGTGGTGAATACTTCCGCTCAGATGACGTCATAATGCAGCTCCATCCTAATGCACTTCCTTACCATGAACAGTATATCTGCAATAAATGAGATTTCCGATTTTTCACAAGGTTTATTTACTCTTTACGAAGTATATTTTCTGTGAAATACGTTATGGTAGTCATTATTGGAATGGGTAATAAGGGGGTCAAAACAAGTCAAAAAGTTCATATGACCCATGCTCCAAAAGTCAATAGATTTTTGTCTAGATGGCTTTATAGTTAACAGCTTTAAGTGCTTTATATCGACCATAATCACCACAATCTTACTAACTCTTATAATCTAATCTAAAACGTTTTTAAATTGGGTAATTAACAAATAAATGGCATTAAGTTTTTCTAAGTTAAGCCAAAATTTCTAGTCAGTAAGTAAGTTTCATTAAATTAAATATTTAAAACACACATTACAACAGCGCGTCGGTCATTCATCACCCTTATCGAACCCGCAAACTGTAACAGTGGTTAGTTATTGTTCGCGTACGTCATCGTGTTTATTTACAATGTTCTCGAATCAAGAGTTCGCCGACATGTTAATTTACGCTGAAGCTCGTCAGAATTCAAATCTTGCAGCTCATATTTATCGCGGCAGATTTCGCCAACGGGTACACCCAGACAGAAGGACATTTGTGCAAGTGTACCAAAGACTTCGATATATGTACAGGAAGTGTTCAGCCCACTAATATTCTCATTCGTGAAAGACAGGTTACTGTAGAGCAGGAGGAACAAATTTTAAATATCGTGGAAATCAATGCAGATATCAGCACTCGGGAATTAGGCCGCCGCGTAGGACTATCGCTTACCATAGTCCATAGAATCTTACGGGAAAATTTGCTTTATCCCTACCATGTACAACGAGTGCAGGCCTTTTTACTAGAAGACTATCCTCACAGACTAACATTCTGTCAGTGGCTTTTGCACAAAAACATTGAAAATCCGGATTTTTTTAAAACCATTCCAGCGACGGACGAATGTACTTTTATGCGCGACGGGATATTAAATTTCCATAATACTCAGACGTGGGCTCAAGAAAATCCTCATACCATCCATGAAGGTCATTTCCAACAGCGTTTTAAAATAAATATTTAGGCAGGCATTCTTGACGATCAGCTAATTGGCCCTTTCGAGTTACCCCCAAAGTTGTCAGGAGAAGGATACCTTAGCTTTCTATCCAATAACCTACCAGAAATTTTGGAACAGACCTTAGACAACATACCATTACAACGGGGACAGAATTTGTGGTTTCTTCATGACGGGGCACCATCACATATTTTTAGAGGCGTCATTCAGTATTTGAATGAACATTACCCAAATCGCTGGATCGGTCGAAATGCTCCTGATCCTCGAAAATGGCCAGCAAGATCTCCTGACCTCAATCCGATTGATTTCTGGTATTGGGGAGAACTTAAAGGGATGGTTTATGGGGCTGGTCCAATAACAACTGACGCACAACTTCGCGAAAAAAAAATTTAATGCGGTTGAAATAATAAATGGACAACTTGGAATACATAGAGTAAGAAGAAACTGGGTTCGTCGTAATGAAGCTTGTGAGGAAAGTGGAGGACGATATTTTGAACACCTTTAAATACAAAAAAGTGCAGTGTGGGTTTTAAAAAGAAAAACAATGTATGTATCAAAATTGTGTTCCCTATTTATAAGTGATTTTTTTAATGCGTTCAATAAACCTTCACACACCAGGTGAAGCGCTGAGACAGTTAGTGGTAAGTCCGTTTTTTTAATTGTTTGCATTTTACGAGTACATTATCAAATAGTGGAATAATACCTAAGAGCCAAAAATAACAAACTCCATCTTTATTTACACTGCGTTCCGTCGTAATTTGCGTCTAGCATTACGGCGTTGTCAGATTTTATTTTACTTTAAAGTCGCTTTTCTCTAAAAAATTCCCATGCTTCTTTTAACCTCCTCTATCACCCATTTAAATAATAACTATCATAACGTTTACATCCTGTATAACGAGTCATTTTGCCACTTTATAAGCAGGGACTAGCGTTTAGAAGGATGATAGTTTACAAGTAGGATATTATTTTCTCTCTATTTTTGACGTATTGGTCTGAATCTTTATAAAATATTTGCATGCTCGCTGTTTCATCCTGAGGAGCAAATAAATTTGAAGAAAGAGTTAATATTAATTTGATTAGACATCATTACAATCATCAATTATCCGTTATGTCGCTATTAACCTCAGATACGCATATCCATTGTACAGGGCGGACCAAATAATAAAGGATACCGATACCGACTGTATCTCGGCAGTCGCTCAAATAATAGTAGCCAAGGGAAGTTGCTGTAAGTTATTTTCAGCTTCCAACAATTTAAGTGGCGTAATTTTGATCAGGCGCGGATCCAGGGGGCAACGGTGCCCGCCCCCAAGGCCTCAGACTTGTAGGAAAAAGGGGAAATAAGGAGAGACCACATTGTTTTTTTATTTAAAAATAAATGTCCATTCTGTTGTTACACTGCTGTTTACTATCCCCCTCCCCCCAAGCAGTGCAGCCAAACAGACGTAATATGACTTTTTCTGAGATGACATTCAACCCTTCCCCCACTATCGAACTAACCAAAATATGAGGAAACTACATAGACAAAAAGTTGACGAATCAAGCGGTCAAGTTGATAATGGGTATATTACTTATGAGTTTTTACAAAATAATACCGTTTGAATCCTGGAATGACACCATCTAGCGGCCTATTTCTCTTGACTCTTTATCATAAAACTGTGTCGTTTATTAAACTTATATAAACTAAAGATATTAATTACATGCACTAATTAAAAAGAAAGTTTTCTAGATTTGTAACATTTTTTTAACCGTGTTTTACGCCGATGCAGAATATATGCAATCAAGGATTTTCTATTGTTGTTTGTGCTGGGTATACACGCATTTTGAAATTTCATACGATTATTATCTACCCCAACCAGACGGGCTGGTGCCCTCATGAAAATAGATGGCTTTTTAATAAGGACGGTTAAGTGAGCTGTTCATGCGAAATATGTCACGTGGAATTAGGGGGTGCCTTTTGACAACCTGGCAGGGATATCAGCGGTATCGGAATCAGAAACTATTGATAAATCCACGGGAGCGATTCGCCAGCGAGGGTGGGAATAGAATCTAAACTTCTTGGATATATACCATACCACAGAAAGGTAGATGATTTTTCTAACCCATCTCCTCTAATTTGGCGAATAAATGGAGCTTATGTCTTATTTATGAGCCGGATCAAAAAATAAGTCATAGAGATAACCTCAAAATAAATGTGAGGAGCATTAATGATTTTTACAAGGACCAAATCAAATTTGTAGTTGAAACTCACCAAATGCAGACAGCAACCCATAAACTTGTCTTAAACGTATGTTTTTGGGTGATTTCGATGTACCTATCTAAATTTGTTAGTGAAGATCTTAATAATATTAGGAAATATATTTTTATGTTCAACTTTAAGAATGTGTACAATCTACAATAATTTAATAATGCTAGAAGCTCTATGTCGCGCTTACTTGATTTTGAATTTAGAGGATAACAATGCTATTTTCGATGAGCCTGGTACTCGCTTTAACGAGTCAAGACTTACTTACTTCAATGTCAGATGTGTTGATTTCGTTCCATACTACATACTGCTGAGCCTTTCTCTACCAATATGATGGCATATATCTGTTTAGATGCCTTCTGTGAAAAATTATTCCTATAGTAACCTCTCTATCTCTCTCTAAGCCTTGTAAACGAGCATATCCGCATTGGTACACATTTGACACAATAAGAAATATAAAATCTAAAGCTAGGTCTTTGAAAAACATCAAAATACAGGACTTTGAAAGATCTTTCAAACAACTTTCAAATTTCAAATCGACTGTGTCAGCAAAATAACAAGTTTTGCAGATGATACTGCAATATTATATAAAGGTAAAGGTTTGTGCCTTCTGATAAACATATTGAAAACGATTTCATCAAAATGAAATAGTCGTTCAACACCAGAAAATTAAGCATAAATTATTTAAAAACAAATTTTTGGCCATTTGTATCTTGAGCTAGGTGTCTACCAAATTATACAGATATGTCTTCTACCGTAAACAGTCACAGACTGCAAATTTATTGTTCCAAAACCACATCAATCTGTGATCCAGCGGTCGTATCTCTCTATCTTACACCAAAATTTTATAAAATTTTACCAAAGAGTATATAAAATTTGGGAAAACTGGATATATTCTGTCGCAAGAAAGCTCAACTTTCGGGACAACCTGTATAATGAAATAGCTGAAGCCTGAAGACTATCATTATCCGAAGATACATTGTTAAATAAGAGGCACTCAAATGTGCGTCAATATCTGATAGATGGCCAACTTACGGACGAGTCAATGACTTGAACTTGTGGCAGTCATTTGAGCTGTTACTGGGAAAGAAAATTTCACTACTATGAATTCTGGTTTTCCATGAGATATTTTTTCAATTTCCCTTTTCAAACTGACACACATCTTGATATCATTACTTAATTTATTAAATTCGTACAATCCCTTTTGAAGTACTGACTAAGGGTTAAAGATATACACTGAGAACCAAATTTGTCCGACGGATTGAGCTCAATGTATACGAGAGAGGAATATGTATAGACACATATGTTAGAAAGAGATGGAAGCCGGCTGAATAGCGAAGCTTATCACCGCGTTGCATAGCAACGCTGATGCGGCAACCTGTTTACGATTGCTTCCCAATCGGTGCTAACGGCGCTCCATTTTAGGTCGAAATGAAAGGTCAGGATGCCACAAATTCTGCAACATTGGTTCGCTTGGCAGCACCGCATCCAAGCCAAGGTTTCGTCCTGCTTCGAAATGGATTGAAATAAATAATTCTAATCAAAATGAAATATTAAATTAAATGTTCGAACAGTCCTCCTTCTTGGGTTTGAGAGTAACGTAATCTATTGTAGAAGCAGATGCGAACATTTTCTGGTGTAACATATTGGCACCGTCGCTAAGCAATGTGGGCGCTCTTCCGTCGGCTTATATCTCTTTCTAACATGTGTTGATACACCCTTCTCGTGCTTCTCTCTCGTAGACATTGAACTAAAGCGATCTGACAAATTTGGTTTTCTAATCGTAATATACCTACATAGCCTAATGCTCATTTGCTTCTAGATGGACTCACTAGGTGTCTGGTTTTCAAATACTTCAAGAATCTTTATCCAGTTCCACTAGTCCTAGTCATTTCAAAATTAATTTCAAAAAGCTGTCTAACTTCTTCATAGTAATGTAAAGTATGTGGGTATTTCTCAACAAATTTAGAACCACCATTTTGCGTTTCTTAAAAAAAGATAGTAAAAAAATATTCTATCTCTCTTTTTTGCAGAAATATAGAGTTTTACTTTAGTGAGGTTCATTGAAAATGAAGGTCCTCCATATTTTTGTGCATAACATGTGAAAAAATGGAAAAACTATGCAATAAGAGAATGACTGATAGGATGGGGGAATAATTTTTACAACAATTTGATGCTGAATTTCAATAAAAAACATAAGTTAATTTATTAATAGATGTATTGAGATTTGTTTTATACTTTAAAGGGCACATCCTTGTATTTTCATCATTCTCTAAGGAATGAACAACATCACCCCTAACTTTCAGCATTTTGGAGCTAACCTTACGAGTACAGTTCTTTTTGTACGTATCGTTTTTGAAAAAATGTTTCGATCTGTATAGCAATTTGTATCTTTTGTACTTATTGCAGCTTCAACATGTAATCTTTTTTCTTTTCTCCATGTTTACTTCCAAGATCTTCATAGATATTCTTGAGGTCCGTTCGCAGTGCTTCTGCGAAAATGAGTCTTTTTCTTACAACGTCAGGAACTTGTATATTCTTTAAAAGCGAAGACACTTTAGTTGCTGCAGAGTTTGGGTCCGTAGTTTTAGTTTTCAATCTCAAACACCTCTTCTTATAATTTTCGCTAAGCTTGACTGCGTTCCTTACTTTATTTTCCAAACCTTTAATCTTCGCGTACAGAATAGTTCGCCGCTTGCGCAGTCTACGTCTATTGGGAGCAGACAAATTCTCTGCTCTGTGCTGTAAAGATGGTGCAGGACTTGGTCGGTTTTTGGCTAGTTTCTCTTGCAATCATAGGACTTAACTTCTTCCTTAAATACTTTAATCTTTGTTTTTCACGCAAAGCTTCCAAAGACTCGGCATTGATTTTCTTTTTTTCTCGCCTCTTTCTGTCGTACTCCTTTTTTAATTTCTTTTCTTCTTCACTTAACTTCTTCCACACCGTAACCAACAGTACATCACCTCAAATTGATTTAGCATTTGGTGAATGTATCTTACTCCCCAAAACAAGAAAAAAATCATCGCAGTGAGGTAATGACACAGAGAAATATTCTAATTATTGAAATCCAATACTTTTTTGCAGCAACTCTTTTCACTATTAAGAAATTCCGCCATGTTTACATTATTAGCAGTATTGCCAAGTTTTAAGAACATAACAGCTGCGTTTAAAAATATCAAATGGTGTGACCACAAATCGAATATTTATAATGGGTGAGGGAAAGATTTCATTTCAAGGGACATAGTTTAAATAGATTCTTTTATATACCTATTTATTTTTTAGCTATGAAAGCTTGACTAAATAATCCTTACTTATTATCAAATATTTTAGTAATATTCAATTTATAAGAATATGAACAGATTTGATTGTATACAGGGTGACTTCGAAGTTGAGTCATTTATTTTAACAGTGAGTAAATCTGATCAAAAGAAATGTTTTTTTCCTTTAACATTTTTCTGGTAAAATTAAAGTAACAAAGTTATAGCCCTTTAGAAGTTTGAGTACCGCCCTGTCTCAATAACAATATTATGTGGTCGTGTTTGGCGACAATGGATATAATCCGCCGTATCGGTTCATCGCATCGGAAACAAAAAAGCGAAAGAATTTGGAACGATGTTTTTACAGGTATCTCATTCATTTGTATACAGTTAGTGTCAGTGAATAGTGGTATGTGTTGCGTGGCTCAAACGAAATAAAAAATGGCACATGTTTATGCGGATCGGTTTCCCAATCGAGTGCAACCAACCCCTCGTGCCTTTGTTAATGTAGTACAACGGGCTTGTGAATCAGGTGACTTAAGACCTCACAGGGGACCTCACGATCAAATACAGGTCCGCACTGAAATACTTGTCGGGAGGATACTTTATAAAACAAGGTAAAATTTTTTTTTTATTTTTATTTTATTTTTACACACATATTTTGGTTTATCTTCCTTCTACAATCATTATCTGAAAATTAATGACTCAACTTCAAAGTCACCCTGTATATTTTTTTATTAGTAATTTCAGACCGAGGGATGAGATGAGGGAATGATTTTGAGACTAATAAATTAATCGCATTTTTTTGTGTCAATATATTATCTAAATTTTTGATTTTAAAATATTAGTGTAGATACGTATTGATATAATAAAAATGTTAAATTGATGATAAATCCATCCAACTTAGCATCAATGGCTCAGGACATGAATTCCGAAATTTGCTGAGAAATACCCATGTACTGGAAGCAACCATCATCAATCTGTCCAAAGGAAGAAAGAGACACCCATACTGCAAACAGCAACAGCAATAAGGAGCTGACGACGAAAAATATCCATCTTACAAAGACGACAACAATTTACTGCCACTATTAATATCTGCTAAGCCTACTAGCTACCAGCCATTTATATCCAGGGCGTTTTTATCTACTCACTAGCAATTATTTCTCCCCCAGTGCGTTTACACTTGACATACAACTTCGGAAAACTCCCGAAGCACGTCGATCTGGAAGAGTAGAAGTTAATTTTTCTGTTCTGGCTGAAGGTTCGTTTATTAACTACCCTTCTGGTACGTTTTTATTACTTGTCAGTCTCTACAACAGCTGCAATGAAAAAGCTGAGACATCTATTAGAAGCAAAAAGCTCGTTCTTCATCATCTGCACTTGTTACGTTACATAAATGCTAGGAAGATCTATGGTTAGAATAGTACTCTCACATCACCGATACCAGACTCTAGGTTTCCATTTCTGAAAAACTATCCGTAACAAACGTATGCATTTTCCTTATGACACTTCATGCAGGTCATCTAAATCGGACATTGCGATATAGGCTATACCTAGATAAAAGTTTACATTCGTCTCTCAAAACAATATGGTACAGTCCACATCTTGGTGATAAGTCTGAACTTCAGTTATTACAGATTTCGAAAACCAAAAATACGTAGATATGATCAAAAAGGTTATCAATTTTTTAATGCCTTACCTCAACATAATCTTGATATTGACGATTTTAATGGGTTAATGAAGAGTTTTATTTTATCAAGACCTTTCTTTGACATTATTGAATTTATGTCTTACGACTTTTCGGTTTTAACATAGCTTTCCTATTTTCTCTACCCTTCTAGTAATCATATTTTGCCTTCGTTTTACTTATTTATAATGTCGTATCGTTTGTCATTTATTATTACCGTCGATTGGGGTGACATTGACCTCAAGGGGCGAGTTTGATCACCAGACCATTTTCTCATAAGTTTGAATTTAGCGCCAGAACTAGCGAACCACTCACAGCGAAAGATAGTGCGTCCGTCAGAATAACTATCTGGAAATTTGCCAGGTAAGTTAAAATGCTGATCTGTATTTTTGTTTGCGTCATACTAGGCATGTTTGTTCATATTTTGAGGTTATGGTGTAGTCGAGCGGGAATGAACAGTGCAGTGCTTTTCATAATATTGAGATATTTAATGGGTGGGGTCAGATTGTTCGCCTAGACGGGGCGAGGTTGATCAATTTTCAATGATCAATCACACCCCATCTAACAATATATGTACATTTATTTTTGTATTGTTAATGGAAGTATGATTAGATTTTATATCCTAATCATGCCGAGGAATTATAAAAGAACACTTGGCTCACGCCGTTACGTGGATTATACCCCAGAGACGCTAGAAGCTGCTCTCAAAAAGGTGGTAGAAGATGAATGGTCCCTCTGTCAAGCATCGGCTGCACGTAATATCCCTTTTGGCACCCTTCGAAATAAGTATAAGGGAATCAGAATTCTGAAATCTGGAGGTCAAACAGTTTTTTCAGTTGCCGAAGAACATGCCTTCGTGAAAGCAGTAAATATCTGCTCAGATTGGGGATTCCCACTCACGCTTACTGATTTGCGCTATATAGCTAAAAGCTATCTGGATAGTCACGGTCGCACTATTGGGAAGTTTAGAGAAACATGCCTGGAACAGATTGGGCTCGTTCTTTCTTACAACAACATAAGACAGATATTAGCCAAAAAGTTGCATTGAACATCAATAGAGCTCGGGCTAATGTTTCAGGGGAACATATAGTCCAATGTTTCTAAAATTTGAGTGAAACATTAAAGGATATCCCAGCTTGTAATATATTCAACTACGACGTAACAAATGTGCAGGATGATCTCGGAAAACAAAAGATGCTGTTTCGGCGTGGTACAAAATACCCTGAAAGGATATGCAACTTTACCAAAACTGCTACTACCATAATGATCTGCGGGTCCGCTTCTGGTGTGCTGCTTCCACCATACGTTATACTCGTATATAAGGCTGAGAAAATGTAGAAGCAGTTGATTGAGCTCAGTCGCAAGGGCGAGCCTTGCTGCAACAATAGATGCTGCAGTGTAGGATCGCGATATAATCGAACCCAGCATGGATGGACGCTCAAACGTTTACAGATTGGTTTAAATCAGCTTTTCTTCCTCATGCAAAATCTCTTCCTGGTCGGAAAGTGTTAATTGGAGACAACCTGCCTTCACATTTCACAGAAAGCGTTTTAAGGCAGTGTAGAGAAAACGATGTTGATTTCGTTTGCCTCCCAAAATGTTCGACCAATCTCACTCAGCCATTAGATGTCAGATTCTTTCACCCTTCCAAGAGATAGCTTGTAGGTCTTCCCTGACAAAATGGAAGAAAGCTCATCCCCATCAGTCTACTCTAGATAAAAAGGATTTTTCCAGTGTATTAGCTTCTACCCTTGCAAAAATAAGCCAAAAACATGAAAATGCTATGAAGAAAGACTTCATAAGCTCATTTCGTGCAACTGGTATAGCTCCTCTCGGTGCTGAACGAGTTCTGCGAAAAATTCCAAGTCAAACCAATGACACGAATACTGGAGATTCGCTGGACAACGTTCTTGTGGAATATCTGCTACAGCAGCGTTTTACGGTAGGACCATCTAGAAGAAATATGAGGCGTCGAAAGCTTTCGGTAGAGCCTGGAAAAAGTGTTGTAACAAATGAAGAACCCAGTGACTTAGATACGAACGACGATCCTCAAACTAATAATAGCTCTAGTGAAAACTCATTAGAAACCATCACCGAACCGGAAACTGAATACTTTGAACCGACAGAAAGATATATACTTCCTGGCAAATTTCTTCTAGTTAAAGTATGTTTGTGATCTAGAAAAAAAACAGTTTATCGATATGTTGCCATTGTGCAAAATGTGACCGAGAGTCAAAATGTTCGATAATTCGAGGTGTTGGGATTAAAGTCTGTAGATGGATCTAAGAATAAATTTCAAGCTCAAGATGGCGACGAATTTCTAGTGGATTTTCCAGACGTAGTAGCTGTGTTACCGAATCCTGTCGTGGAAAATTCAGACGGGCTTATCACCTATCGTTTTGAAAATATGATAGATAAATGTAGTTTTTCTTTTTATATTCTACCTCAACTGTTTGGAGACTTATTTAAGTTATTTGTATTAGTTATAGATATGGATAAGCACCTATTTGAAAATTTGAAAATATTTTTTGTGAGGTATCTGGAAAAATAAAGGTTGTTTATCAACCAAATAGGTGTTTTTGGCCATTATTTACTGGAACACGTACAATAAAATACAGTTGATCAATCTCACCCATAGTGAACAATCTCACCCCACCTACATTAAAATGCTGTAACCAGTTGAAATATAATAAGTTGAGATTGTTCATTTAGGAGCCTGTACCCTCATTTTACATGCAATTAATACTATGTGAACAATCTCGCCCCAAAACCAGTATGAAATTTATCAGCCGTTTTTAGTTCCGTTAGGGTTATAGTTTCAAACACTGGGGTTCTTTGGACCTGCTGTGCCATTCTTACCCATAATATGTATCAGATTCGATCATTAACACCAATAAACTATTATTTCTACTATTATCATTATGATATATTATCACACCAATAAACTATTATTACTATTATTATTATAATTATGTTGTAAAATCCGTCAAAACCATTATTTTCCAAATGCTTGGTAATACAGTCTAAATTCGATGCAGTCGACCCACTATCAGGAAATAGGAAATTAAATATGTTGTTATTCCGTATAACCCATTTTATGCTGGATTAATAAATAGCATTTCCTGAAATAACAGCATAGGGTTCAATGAAACAAAGGTACATAAACTCTGCTAGCCTTCTGTCCCTTTCCATTATGGTATAACCGTATATTCTGTCGGCGAACAAACAATAAAAGCAGGAATATTTTAAGAACAACAGGCGTTCGGGAAAAGATAAATATTTATGTAACTCCATTCATATTGAGGATAATTAAAAGAAAAACCGTACGCTTGGTGCAGTTGTAGTACACGTGAGAACAGATGCAGGAATCCAGGACCGTATCGCATGTTCCCATCCACTTGGGATTAGCAGTTTTACCTTTTGGTGAGAAATTAGAAATGCATGAAACTAAGCAAATCTATTCATAGTTTGTGAGACGAGGAAATCGTTATATTCTACCGCTTAAGCCACTATGTAGGAAGTTTTCACAGATTATTCAAAGTGGAGAGAAAAAATCTGCCCGATGCGCCAGCTTTGCTATCACATTCAAAAGATCGACCTACTAGATATCGGCGAAGTTTAAATTAGTAATCGAAACAAAATTATGTTCTGTCTTCGGATTAAGCAATGCTTTTATCAAACAACAAGGTATGGATAGCTCTCGCGAACAATGCGTTTGTAGGTTTAATTACATTTCAGAGGTATACATTTCACACCAAGAAAATAATTTTCACAGTCAAATTTGTATTCAACCAGGTCCAATATATTGTTTTTGAAACATACATCATACAGTGATTCGTAATAATCCATGCAAAATATCACATCACTCATTTTCAGTGTGATAAACGCTTGCTCTGTGTTGGCGTTTTTTAACTTGGTCAGAGCTATGGGAAAGCGATTTCTTTAAAGTGCTAGTATCCTTAATAGTTGCAAAGTTTTAAGAAAATTGTGCACTCATTTTTAAACTTTTTGGACAAATTTTGATCGTAGTCAGAAGCAGTGTAAGATAAATAAAATATCTATGTTTACTTATTTGGAGGGGTTTATTGCTTGATAACCCCTATTCCTGAACGATATACGTATTTACTTCAGGAATTGTCATTTTTCAAAAGAATCAAGAACATCCAATTTGCATTTTATTTTAGATTTTTTTTTTGATCTCACTCACTTTACATTGAGCACGACCTAAGATTTAAAAAAGTCACGTGCTTTTCCATTGTCCAAATTTTTAATGAGATAGGACCGTGCCAGAGTAACACCCAGTAATGAATAAAATAGGACACCCATTAGAAATGGTAGCAATACAAGACAGAGGCAATTGTGGGTAAATTATAAAGAGAAAAAATTTTCTGCTAATAATGTGTTAGGCCGTTCCAAATGCCGTGTACATTCCTCCAATCATCGGGGCAAGCTTCTGAGGGCATGGTTTGTGTATTCTTACGGTATCTCATCCCAGGCTAGCCGTACTTGTTTGCAGAGAGCTGCTAGCGTTCGTGGAGGCCGAGATGAAGAGGATAGTGCTTATAATCCCATCATATCCTACCCGTGTTCACTGGGCTAAAGGTATGTAGATGTAGGGGGGCCGGAGAAAACGGATGTTGAACGTTTGGAGAAAGGGCAAAAAAATAAGGTTCCATTATTTCCTGGACAAATTGTTGCGCCGGCTTACTTCCTCTAATGGTAACTAGAAGTGATAGCACCGTATGTAATGACGCTCCACGTTCAACTAAAAACTTAGTTTACGCCTTCTGACTATTGTCCGTCCATCAAACATTCCCAAAAAGACCCAAGACTCATCACATCATTACAATTTTCTCGGTCTCTGTTGAAGAATGGACGTGATAGAAGGAACGTACTGTAAGTTTTCAGGTGAACGTCAAGAGCGCCATAGTGTAGATTTATGGTTTGAGGCGCCAATTGATGGGTGTTTCTCTACTAACTGGAAAGTTGCCCATACAAAACTGTCCCAACCATATTATTCTTATAAATTAAAATAATAATAATAATAATAATAATAATAATAATAATAATAATAATAATAATAATAATAATAATATTAATAATAATGTTTATTGGAGTATTAATACATAATAGAATCAAAATACGAGCAAATAATATAACACAAAAAAAATAATACTCCGAAGGGCTGGGATTGGCATAGCCATTTTTCACCCCCGCCTGAATAGCTAAGATAAATTCATTACGTGCATTACTATATCTTACTAGGGTATATCATATACATTACATAAAGAATATGTAGTTGACTATAATAATGCTAACAAAACTTTAAAATTTAATATTAATAATGAGATTTATTCAGCCACTTGTAGATTCATTAAATTGTAACTGTAATAGCATTCTTTTGAATTCTCTTTTGAAGCTGTGAATGTACGTTAATTTAAAGAAACTTGGGTAATCATTTAGTATACTGGGAGCTATGTAATAGAAACATTTTTTAAATTTTGAGGTAGTGTGGGCTGGTATATTATAACAATATTCATTACGGAGGAACAGTTGATGGAGTGAAGATCTTTTCTCTAACGTGTCAAAAAGATATTTCAGAGATTTATATTTTAAAACCCTAAATAGTAGAACAGCATAGAGAAGTAACGAGCGATATTTGAACTTTAAAAGATTTTCCCTTACATAATACCCAGTAATGTGTTCGCGTCTGTTTATCTCATTGAAACAAAACCTCATACAATGGTTTTGTAAAACTTGAATTTTCTGTTGCATTTCCTCAGTGATAAAAGGGTAATATACAGTAATATACAATAATCTAAATGTGTGAAGATTAATGCATTAACAAGTTTTAGTTTGATATCACTTGTTAATATATACTTATATCTCCATAACGATTTGTATTTATAATAACATATTCTGAGCTTATTTATAATGTGACTTTCAAAACTTAAATTCTTGTCAAGTACTATTCCCAAAGTTTTTGTTTCTTCAACAAATTCAATGTTAATTCCTTCTAAAAATATGTTCGTATTTATTACTTGTTCACACTTCAGAATCGCTAGTCTAGAACCAACACAACATACTTTGGTTTTCAAGGGATTGAGCTTCAAACAATGATTTTTTGAGTACTGTTCAATTATGTCTAAATTTTTATTAAGTTCTAATATTAAAGAATTTACATCGGTTGGTTGACATGGTTTGTAAACTTGTACATCATCCGCATACAAATGTACATTCCAGTCAGATGATATATGTTTTATCAGATCTGAGGTATAAAACGTAAATAAAATAGGTCCTAAAACGCTGCCTTGTGGAACACCAGACTTCAAAGCTCGTAAAGTAGACACTTTACCACGCAATTTTACACATTGAGATCTATCAAACAAGTAATTACTAAACCACAGCGTGGCATTTCCGGTCAAACCATAATGGTGCAGTTTTTCACACAAAACTCTGTGATTTACCATGTCAAATGCCTTGCTGAAGTCTAGCATGACTAGTAGCGTTATCATGCCATCGTCTATAAATTTCACTATATCACTGGACATTTTAATGAGCGCTATAGATGTATTATGTAATTTCTTAAACCCAGGCTGGGTGTCAGGCAACACTTTGTTGATTTATGTAAGGAGTTTTTTCATTCTTCAAAGCTATTCCTAAATAATTTCTTAGATCATTATAATATGCACGATGTTCTTCATTTCTGGTTCTTCTGAACTTGTTGTATGCTTTCCGCTTCAAATGTATTATACACTTGATTGTATGTGTCACATAAGGTCTGTAGTTCTTACGTGAAGTAATTCTTTTCAATGGGGCATGTATATTGTAGAGCATAATAATAGTTTCGGTAATGTGAAGAACTTTGTCATCAAGACTTGGCAAACCATCTATGTAGCTCCATTCCACAGAAGCAGCATCGTTGGCAAACTCAACGTGATCGAAATGCGAGAAGTCTCTGTAGTAAAATATTGCAGGTGTGTATTCCGGAGTTTCAATTTCCAACTTACAGAAGCACAATCTGTGATCAGTGACTTCTGGCATGTCTAGAGTTCCACACTCGTAAACAGTGAGTGTATTTGTTGTAAAAATTATATCGATCATTGTTGCTGTATTTGCTGTTATTCTTGTTGGTTCATTAATTACGCGGTTCATGTTGAATAGAGACATCATTTG